GAGTTAAAAGAAAAATGTGATCACCTGCTTACGTAATCAAGCAGACATCTGATAAAAGTAGCTACACATTCCAAAGGGGAGAATCCCTCAGCAGCCATTTCAAAGTGAACCTTAAAATTTAAGCAAGAGGGATAAAGGGTGCCAATCGTATCTGAAATCTTCTGTTGCTACAAGTGTAAACTTCTGAGAAAAGGATGTGATTCAGCCACTGGTATACCTGACGTAAAAGATCAGCACACTTTTTTTTTTTTTAAACTCTTATTGCTTATAGCTCACAAAATGCTATTTCCATACAAGGCTGACAAAGAGTTCAGGTCCAAAAAGTGTAACAGACCATCAAAACATTGCAAGCCAGTTAGTACCTGGAACATCCTGAACATCAAGTTTCTGTTTTTATAAACAAACATATGCTAAACAAACTCCACGCTGGAAGCAGTACATTTTTCAGATTCCCTCTTTTTAATGAGACAAACAAGCTACTGTAACTGTAACTTGCTTGTCAGCCTGCTATTCCTGCTACGGATTTGTATATTCATCCCTTTAAATAGTCATAAAAAGATACTATAGGAAGGTCTATTTGCAGATAAAATAAAATGCAACTTAATCATATGTAACTATAAAATCATACTCAGTTCTAATAAGATACAAGCTTTGGCATATTCTTACAAATCCATCATGACAGAAACCAGATGAAAAACAGGCACCATGGCATCTTCTTTAGCAAACTTCTCACCTGTAATTTCGCTAATTTGAGTTTTAATTGATCAACCTCACAAGGTATGCACAACACTAATAAATCTGAAATATTACATTCCACAGGCTTAGAATTTATTTTGTAACCACATTACCTCAGCTTAACATTGTACAAACACATTCAAAATCAAAATCTTCAAAATCTTTGCACTTGCTTTTTTATTTAGCCAATATCCATTCCAGTCCAACATATTAGTATTACCAGGTTTATTACCCTACTGTCTAATCAGCCGAAGAAACCCACAAACACCATCCATGTCAAAAATAACCACTCTTTGGACCTGAACTGGACACCACAGTAACTAGCTCTCTAGGATTTTGTCTTTTAAACTGAATTCCTTTAAACAAACAAACAAAACAACAACCAAAAAAACCCAGAGAAAATTATTAAAACTAAAACCTTTATATGATGACAATGATCTTCCAAAAAACCACCCTCCACAAAACTATTAAAAAACTCCATAAATAAGCAGCTCATGATTTTCTGAGAACAAGAGTTTAACCACTGCCCTATTTCTTTATAGTGTATATATAGCTGGTTAGAATGTTTCTCAAAAAAATTCAAGAAATCTGCCTCACTTCTACTGACCGTATTCCCACTTTATTATTGATACATGTGGACACAATACAGAAGTCATTAAATAAGCTGGAAAATCACATGTAGAATATAATTTTAAGTGTACTATAAGGCAAGACAGAACTACATGAAAAAGAGAACATTTTGCCCACAGAGCATCACATTTAATAGCTTTCTTAAACAAGATAACATGCATTACTCATTCATTGTAAAATCCAAGCATTCACACAGTGAGGAAGTGTGGAAATCAAGTATGACACTATTCTTTTGCTACTTCTTGAGTACCTGAAGTTACATATACCTATTTCCACCCAGATTTTATACAGGGAAAACCGCTGATATGAATCAGCCATGACATGAGAAAAAAAAAATGCCATCCTTAACGGAAAAATACTTGTCTTTTACGAGAACCTGGCAACAGAATCTTCGTTTGCAATGTATGTCTCAAAAATTCAAGGTTTTTTTCTGACCAAAAGTCTCCTACATTCATATTCACAAAGTAGTACAGCTGACATTGGACTGTTTTTTGTCTCTCTTTGAATTTTACAAGTTTTGAATTCAAATAAAGCTATGTTCATTTTTTTCTAAGTTTGTCCACGGTCTGTGTTTTATGCAGTTACTATCTACATCTAGACACTGAAACCATTTTTCTTCATTTATGAGCCAACATCATTATTTCACTGACCATCAAACACCATATTTGTTGATTTAGAGAGAACATTTTATCATACTGAACTGCTGTATTTTATCTGACAGTAAGCCAATGGTAACAACTGAATTTTCCAAGTTAGTCATAATACTGTGTGGGATTTCTTTTGTTTGAACAGTTAATCCCTAGGACAACACAATTTAAAAAACGAAGTGGACACCGTTTCACCAACCATTTTGGCAACCCCATTATCACATTTATGTTTGTTTACCCTTTGTGTTGTTTTCTGGTCAGCAAATGTACAGATTTCTCTTTTAAATATGAAACTTAGCTTTAAGCATGAAGCATTTGGACATTGTTCTTATATAGGTCAGTAGTAGTTTATAATAAATACATGTGCAAGATGAGCTCATGTTAAGCTTTTAATTCCACTATGATTACCTTACATTTCTGAAACGGAGCAATTATAAAGATGAGGCATACTTACACAACATTTTAACACTATTATTGCCAAAATCAACTTCTTCAAAGACACAATATTGTCTTTAAAATGCCGTTCCTAACAATTGTCTTTCACAACTGATTAAAAAATACACGGCAAAAGAGGAGACAAGCAAAAACATTAACAGTCCAAAGAATCATTGTAAGACGTTTCCGCGCTATCTCACAGATCAAAATACATGGTGCAAGAACAGCGATGTTTGCCACAGAACCACAGCTTGTTTTCCCCACTGCTGCTCCCCTTCTCCCACTAATATCTGGAATTACTTGGTGGGAGGCGCTGCTATGGTTCTGTGACACAGCTCCTGAAGGGTCACTTTTTCCAAAATATTTTGTCTGCTTACAAGGTAGCCAAAGGGCTTTCAATCTCCACTACTCTGGTTCTTCTAACTACTTTTCTTGTAATTATCCCCAATTATGGCATTGGAACCATACAAACCATGTGGTTTCTTTCGGTGAAACAAAGCTGCCGCATACTTTTTCCAAAGCTCGCAAAAATTATGTCCTGACTAAACAGAATCCTGCAACAATCTCCATCTCACTTCACTCACAGACTCCAGTCAGACTCCAAACTCATTCCCACATCATCCCTGAGGTTCAAGCCAAGGCAAAGCCAGGTTTCAGCCCTTTCCAAACACCTCTGAAACAAACAAGGGAAAGAAACAGCTTCTTGGTTCAGGTGCAGGAGCAAGCACTCCTGAGGAACACAGCTGATTAGGATTTCTTCATAAAATACGGATGTTAAAAAAAAAATCAAATTATTCTGAGCAATCTCCTCCCCGCCATTCCCTGAAATGAAATGAAACATACTGAGTTTGATATCTGAGTTGAGGTTTATTTTAGGATAAATTCCTTAGATCTAGAATCGCATTTCAGGAGACAAAAAATGTAACATCTACTCTGAGCATACTCATAAGCACTGCTCTGTGGAGTGCGATAGAGCCACTTTGTCTGGTGGTCTGCCAGGTTTGAAGTAAGGACAGAAAGCTGTTCCACATCCCAAATTAATGCCCTAGAGACCAGCTTATACAGCTGGCCTGTCTCTAGGTCAGTGGAAATGTAATTATCTGCACAAAAGCTTAAAAAAAAAGAAAAAAAAAAAGGAAAAGAAAAAAAAAGAACTGTATGGGGACAAAGAAGGCAAAAAAATACATTTTCTCTCTCCCTTTTTCAAACTACAAGGAAAATCAATCTCTCCTGTTCTTCCCTCCATTATTTCAGACTGCAGTGACAGGGAGGGAAGGGGAGTTACTGACAAATTTGTTATTATATTATCTTGAGAAAAACAGTATAAATGACAGAAATAGCTTTCAGATACGTAACAATTTTTTTTTTCCACAGCTGCTAATGCCAACCACTGCTTCAAGCTGCTGGTGTAAAAGACCATAATCTCATTGCAATTTAGGTAGCAGAGCCATTTTCATTTTACACTGCAGTGCAAGGATTAAATGTATCTAAAAATTTTGTGCTTCTTTCAAGTGTTGTAACTAGTGACAGTGCTTCAGAACACAAGAAAATTTTTATTCTTACAGTGAATATACAGGTCACAACCTACATGCTGGAGGAAGAGAAAGTTCAGTTCAAAGTATTTTAATATTCATCAGATTAGTATATTTGAAAAAATAAAGATTCATTATAAAGGAACAATAAGTCTGTGATATGAAGATTGGAAAGCAAGGAGATGGACATAGAAATGTTGTTTAATATTTAGAATATGCCTACCCTATACGGGAGTATACGCAGAGACACCAAGAATTTCTGAGTCATATTAACTGAGGTACTAGAAGCAGTCTGGTTTTGCTGGCTGTTAGCAAAAAGCAGCAGGATTTGTCAGCTTAGGAAAAGCACTACATTAATGCAGCTATAATGCTTGTGAAATTCTGCCTTGTTCAGTGTCATGGATCACAGGGATGCAGCTGTGTACGTATTTTCCTACTGATCAAAATCCATCTAAATTCCAGCTGAGCCTAGTGTTTCCTCTTGGATAGGTGGCTCTGAAGGCCTACACCTAGCCAACAAAGGCCAGATGGACAGATCTGGGTGAAATTATTAAGTACGTATTTGGGCTTTGGGAGAGGCTGGAGAACTTGTGGCCTTATTTTCAACTGAACTTTTTCCCAAAAGCTTTTAAACTTACCTTAAAACACTGAAAACCTTCAGTCTCTCTCATGTTTTCAAGACCTGAACAATACCCGCTTTGTCAAACTATGTCAGCAGACTGGACTTCCTGCTGCCTAAGTACAGCAGCCCTAAAATGGTAGTGCCTATCATGACACACCAGAAAAGAAGCTACAAAAACAGTAAGCTGTTTATAAAAAAACTGTTTTGAAACATTTCAATTTTCAAATTTAAAAAAAAAAATTCTTCACTAAGTAGACTTGATAGTTTTCCCTTATACAGCCTGGAAAAGGACTTCTGTAGGAATCTAAAGCACACAAAACTTGTTCAGCAACTACCAGTCCATGATACAAAAGGTAGTAACAGAAACACTGCTGCACACAGGCCCAGAGATTACAATACCTTCATATTAGATGCCTCGGTTTCCAGTTTTGTTAAGTGATTGGAGTTATCCTCTAACTCTTGCCGAAGGTTGGAGTTCTCCATCTTTAATGCCTCAACTTGCTTTAACAACTGATCATATGAAGCTGCGGCCATCCTGGGCTACCCTGAGCCCTAAAAAAATAAGAGAAAATATTAAACATTTTAGAAAAAAACTCCAAATTTATTTAACCATAAAATTACCTCTCTCCTTCCCATTTACCACTCATCTGTCCAAACAATTTAAATTCATTAAACCAAACTATTAATGCCTAGAACGAATGCCAGTTCAAAGACTTTTTTCAGTGGGCTTCCACTTGATACACACAATTACGCACACAAGTGAAGTTTATTAACAACTGTGTTAGGTATTAGGGGAACTCAGAATCATAGCATCATACAAAAGCATCCTTACTATTTGCATTTCAATTCTAACACTGAGAAACTACACAGATAATAGACCATATTTAATCATTTTTGGATAGACAACAAGCACCGTCAACCATACCTAAATGATGACGACTGCCTACTTATTTTATGAAACAAAAGATAGTTTTCAAAACTGTCAAAATTCCTAGGAATAGCACACACTAAATGAGATGCTGTATGAAAGGCAAACAGTAAATACTGAGGAACTTCAGAAAAAAAAGCATCAAGTGTACTAGTAATCAAGTCTTTCGTAAAAATACCCTCCAAGACATAAAGATTTAAACAAATATACTTACAAAATTCCAACACAAGAAGTGGTCATACTGCACAGCAGATTAAAAAGATACAAGGCTTTTCTCGATATCAAGATATCCCATATTATTTTGGGTAACACCATCACAATTATCCAACCATTACAAAAGAGAAAGAAACACATACTCCAGTTTGAATTGTAAAATACAAGTTGTTCCCAACTTTCAAAACCAAAAACCATCGAAGTTGTTCATCTAACAACATAAGTTAACTAAAAAACGGCTAGCCACATTTGAGGCTCTTCAGAGCTGCAGCTATGAACTTCTTATTCACCAGTCACTAAAGAGAATACAAGAAAGCCTCGCACTTCCTATACGTACAAGTCACTCTTCCACTGTCATCGCAGGAATCTCCTAAGTATGCAGTCTGTAACTCAAATGAAAAAAATGTAAAAAGCTTACACGACAACACTCCTTTTCACGATTACTGCAGTACTTCAGAAAAGCTGAAACAATTAAAAGCTCTTAATTTAGGATTTTCTGTGTATCCTTTCACTACGCCTTTGACCTTACTGCTTGTGTAACTCCTTATATAACCAACTCTGCTCTTCCAGATGAATCTTAATTGAATTATTCAGCCTAATAAGAACAGGTAAAATTATTCAAAAAGTTCCTCAATACAAATTTTGAAAATCATGTTTGATTTTTCTAAATTTAAACTCAACGAAAAGTAAAAAAGAATATACACCACTGAAGACAGGAGAATAACAAAAGCTGTAATGCATTTGATATGACCAGTTTATTCCAAGAACCAAGTCTTCACGCTCTAAGTGCCTGTCATCAAAGACAGGAGAAGCAGGAAGCCTGCAACGTACCGAACTGTGATATCCATGACACTACCAATAAGCTGAACAAAAAAAAGTCCCTAACAAATTTCTTCTCCAAAATTTGATCATGCTTTACTGGAGATCTCATTCTTAGAGAAATGAAGGCAATCAGACACTTCTACTCTGTTCTGTGAATTCTGTGCTTTTACCATCAGGCTGTTTCACCTAAAAGCTGGAGAGCTCTCAAAGACAGTTCTAATAAGAAAGAAATTAAAAAAAAATCAAAACGGGCAGACTGCTTCTGTTCCAATTCATGTACGGTCTTATTTATAAGTAACAGTTTCCATTCTTATTAACAAAACCAACAGCTGTAGTTCACATTTCAGAACATCAGACTGCATGGACACTTCTGCACAAGCCCAAGGGAAGGCAGCAGAAGTTGAAACATTATTCACATTAGTTGACATAAATTAGTATTGTATTGTAATATTGATAGAATCTGTTGGTTTCAACTCAAATATACTACACATTTATTCATTTACATTTAAGTTACAGAAGCTGCTGTGTGCCATGTATTTGACATGCATTTTGATTCTAGCTGGAATATATTTTTCTCCCATTATTTTAATTAATGCTTGGTATGAAAGGACAGGTAACGATAAAAAATACCAAATTTTTCCATTTTCTGTCCACACTACATAATTCTCACTCGTGAATCTGGAAGTTAATTAATAAGATGCATACATGCAACAAAGAAAATGGAGAAAACTGAATGAGGGGAGGAGCTACAGCAGAAAGACAGCAACTGCATGGCTCTGGTATTTTAAATGCAAAATAAGTTTAAATGCACTTATGTTAAATGAGTAAGGATCCAGTTTCTGAAGGGGGCATTTGGTTTGTCTTCTTCCCCCTTCTGATCTGAGTTCCTAAGCTTCCTTCTGTGTACTTTATTTTCTTAACGTGGAAGTAGGACATCACCACTAAAAGACAGCATTCTGCCTCAGACCAGAAGTCACTTCCTGGCTTATTCAAATGTCAAACTTTACTCTGTGGGTTTGCAGATAAAACTGAGCTAGCCGATTACTGCAAGCTGGGTAATCCAAAACATCTTCATTTTTCAGCAATGCCTGGCAGCTGCGCTCCGCTACCACGGCATTCACACCGGCACCTCAGGATACGGGACGGATTTTAATGAGAACCTCCTAGCAGGGGGAAGGAGGGAAAAAAGCGTGCACCATACTTTTGGGAGCATGGCGAGGTTTGGGCAAAGCGTATTTGCAGCCGGTAGACCCACACTGCAAACGGGACTGGGGGCAGACAGCCTCACGTTAGCAATACCCCGCGAGCCACTGCAGCATCTGCTCCCAGCCATGCCTGCCACCCTTCTGCCTGGGGCACCGGGGCTCCTCGGGGCCACACAGATGTACACCTACCTCCCTCACCCTCCATGATAGTTCTCCTTCTTCCTGCCTGTAAAGGAAGCACTATCACATATTTGAGGAGAACAGTAAACTACTTTTTAGAAATAATAGACCTCACCCGCCTCAACTGCACCAAGGCATTTGATACAGCACCACATGTAAAACCAGCTACAGCTATAACAAAGATGAGCAGAAAAACCATGCATTATTAAGGAGTAGCTCAACGACAACACTGGGCAGTGCTGAAAGCCAGACTGCTGGGCTGGAGGCAGGTTGTTAACAAAGTTCCCCCGAAACTAGACCACCACAGGTGTTTTCAAATGCTTCATTACTGACCTTGGCACAAGAAGTGACATCAAAACTTGCTCACATAAATTCAACAGGCTTCACAACGTCAGAGGACTACATGTAACACACAAGGAATCTGATGAACTGAGAAACGGAGCAGTAGAAACTTGGTGGAATTAAACAGCATAACAACATAAGGTCCCTCATGTAGGAATCTGGTCACCTGGAAGCAGTGAGCAGGGAGAAGCAACTTGATCCTCCCAGCAGCCAGGCTGCAGGGCACTCAGGCGCTGCCAACACCAGACTGGCACCAGGAAAGCAAACATGAGTTTCCTCCAGAGTTACCAAGTCACTTCACAAAGCTACAGGTGAGAAAAATGCATTTAACTGGGGCAGAGAAAGACGCTAAGTGATCAGGGGACTAGAGAGTCTCTCATATAAGAAGAGACTTGACAAGCAAGCCTTTGACACCTCAGCACAACAAAGGCTGGAATGACACCGCTACACTTTCTCATTAGGGAGAGGAAAACACTCCAGAGGGAGAAAAATATTTACATTAAAACACAACATTGACACAGAACAAATGGATATAAACTGGTCGTTTATCAACGTAGGCTGGCAACATCTATTGGAAGTTGTAAATTCAGCAACATCCTTGCCTAGCTCACTGGACAGGAAGGAACTGGACTTAACGGTTCAGAAATCCAATCTTTTACTCCTAAACTTCAATACAGAAGAATACTGTACTTATTTTGGTATCTTCAAGCTATTTGTATCTTTTCCTCAAGAAATAATGAAATGTCAAAGCCATTTCACAAAAGACACCTTTATTTAGCTTTAAAATGGAGGAAACGGACATGAGTAATGCACAACCACAAAGTAGCTTAGGCTTTCTGATGCTGATCACTATGACACCTCTCAGGCACTTAGACTGCAGAGTGAAATCACAAGGCCCCATTACACACAAGCTGTTCCACACACATTGAGCTAACACCCTCAAAATTAAAATCTGCCTTTCTTCTGGAAATAGGTTTTTACCAACAGCCTCAAACTAGACACACCAGATCAGAATTCAGGTACCAAAACAAATCCTTGGATTTATGCTCCAACTTTTCTGAGGGAAAAAAAAGAAAAGACTTCAAAAATTTTTTAAACACAGAATTGGTGGCATCAATAGAAATTGACTGTATTGCTGCATCCCTTTCTTGTAATTTCTCGGGGGTCAAAACACGTGCCCTGGGGAAAGAGTCAATCTCTGGACCCTCTCGGCCAGACACGGTTCACACAGAATCACAGAATGTTAGGGGTTGGAAGGGACACCCCAGAAGTAACCAGCAACCAGTGCAAAAGCAGGCAAGGAACTGTTTACATGGGGCCCACTAGCCTGAAGCTGTAGCACTGCACATACACACAGAAACATGTTCAAGATTATTAGGGCCAGAATCAGCTGAATCAAGAAGAAACGACTCCTCCCTGTACGTAACCCCTACAGCAGGGAGTAGAGGGGGAGGGGAAAAGAACTCTGGGCTCTGATACTTATTTCACATTTCATCCAGCACAAGGGAAAATGCATGATGTATGCAACACAATCCACCTTTCCGAACCTCACTGTTAATGCTTCAGTCAAAATCCCTTTCGCACTCTGCATTTCATCTTCACAGAATGGTCACCATTCACAGGCAGGAATGGAGACACCCCTTTCTCTAGATTTACTCCCAGAAATAACCCTCTTGGAACACAGAAACTTTGAAATTTAATTCTCTCATTATAAGCAGCACCTAAAATCTAGGTCTTCTACTTCCCTGACCCACATTTCTCATCGTTAAGAGGTTACTTCTCCATCTCCTATCAAAGTAAGGTGAAATTATGACACGAAATTTCATGCTTTACTGAATCAGCACTTTGCACGAATATACACA